GTATGTCATTTACCACTTAACAACGTACATAATTATGTGAGTCTTACATATACCCAGCAGTAGTCATAGCCGCGTGTTCGGGATTCACTAGTTTGCAATAAAATGTATCAAAAATCAAACACGTCATATTGATGCGTTGAATGTTTTGTTACGTGCAATTATAAATTAAATATTATTTAGCCCCAAACTAGCATTTTCGCTTGTGTCATGTTTATAATAATAAGCCACAAATATGATTCTCAATGGATGTGAATAATTATTAGGTACTTGAAGGAATCTTTTTACAAATACAATTTGATCCATATTTATGAACGGACAGGACATTTAAAGGACCTACAGGCTTGAAATAGAGCAAAAAAGTGAACCATCTCTTTTAAAGTCACACTTTTTTTATGAAACTCCTAATTTATTCATTATGCTCCTAAAATACAGATTTCTCAGCATAACAGTGTATCGTTATTCAAACTAAATTGAAAATTTTACGCACGATTACATTCTTAGCATTGGCGATGTCCACGGGCAATTTTCCGCGAGATGAACCTCGTATCCTGTTAAGCAAGTATCTAATTCTTCTTTTTTTTCATTTGTGTACAGAGTTAAGTCTTCATTCATAAACTTTAATTTCTCAGTGTTATAAACCTGTGAAATTAAAATTAACTATTTGAAATCCACTTCGTTGAAAGGCTAGGTTAAGATAATTCTGTCCCATGAAATCATTTTACACTCGTATTGTTTGTTTATAGTTATGCTACTGTATCGGGATCGCCCTTATTGTTTCATAATAGAATATTTAGGCAAGTCTTTTTGTTTATGAACCTATTTATATTATTTATGTTGGCCTTGAATGAGAGAGTAAAAAATTTGTGTGTTTTACTCGTGATAGAGTAATAATACTATAATATTATGAGCTATTTTTATTGTTATATATTACACCTATTGTTATTTCAGTAAAGAATTATTATTTTTTATCTTTCGGGGTTTTTTATTTATTTCGCTTATGAGACTAAAAACTTGTTAGGTAAATAAAGAAATTGCGAGGTATTCTGATGTAAGCAAAAGTTTTCATCTGATTGCTGAACTTTTATTTGGATGGAAACTGTTGGGGTTTTTTTTTAATATGATTAAAACCAATGAATTGCGTAACAAGATTTTAGAACTTTTCTTTTTTTTTGTATATTCGCCCTGAGACAAGAAGGCAACCCGGCACAACAAGACGTTTCCTCGCCAAGATTGAAATCGCCTTGACCTCAACATTAATTGTACTTGCAACAGTTTCCTATCTTTCGACAAATTAGCATTCAGCTCGTCAATTCAAAGACAATATCGGAGTAAGTTTGCATTCATGTATGTATTAAACAGTTTTCCAAAGCTAATGTCGTGAATGCTTAATGAGTGCACGGAGCCTTTTTTTTTTAATTCGTAGGCTTTGATCATAGAAACAAGGTTTATTACGAAATAAATGTTTTGATTTCACGATTTATTTTAGTTTATTCAAGTTCAACTTCGTATTTACTTAGCGGAAACTGTAAATTGCAATAAATTGAAGCATGCGTATACGTGAATCTCTAAAATCGTATACGTGAATCTCGTGAAAATCTCTCAAACACATGTGAATGTGTTTGAGAGATTTTAATTGAACTTTTTATTCCCTACTTTGTGTGGACAAACTTTGATGCAGTAGATTGGGGAGTAGAATAAGGACAAATCTGGGATTCCACAATACTTTTGTTGAGTTGTTAGAGATTTAACTTTGTTGAACTACAAATGACTTTTATTTAGTGTTTAAGAATATTAAATAGTTTAATTTAGTCATCAAAGTTTATTAACTCATTAAAGATATTAACAAATTAATTACTTAAAGTTAGTTAGCTAACTAACAACTAACAACTAAATAATGTCAGCCCTAGCGAAAAACTCTATTAACCCCTTAAGCGACCCGATTCACCCGACGCCTGGGTGAATAGGGACAAGTGAGTTTTGTAACTTTTTACGATTATTCTTTAATATTTTAATGCATTATAAATGAAAACTTAAACAACCGGAACCATTATGATCTCCGACTTACTCCCATTTTACACCTACCATTTATTTGTAGGCCAGAAAAAATTAACGAACTAAACAAATGAAGAATTAAAATTAGAATACTGGAATTTCTGTTTCGGTAATGAAAAGGCGTCAGCGAAAATGCCATAGATGAGCAGACGAACATAGAGTTCATTTGATAATATATCTCATAGACGACATCCAAAACATCAGGAATGCCAGAGGCATACATGTGTCCTGCCTTTGGCTTGGGTCTCTTTTCTAATTATATTTGAAGAAAGTATGGTGCTTATGGAGCACAGTGTGATGGTAAGTTCTTATCTCAGCCAGTGCGATACATTTTTTTTAGACGTGTGAACGAGCTCGCGGTCTACCTGTCGGTGGTTGAAGTCTCCATTTTGTTATATTACGGCTGTCTCACTCTTCAAATCGGAACGCAGGACTGCGTGGCTGTAGAGTTAGGCAAGACGATTGCGACAACTGCTTAGTCTTTCCTTTAAAAAAAAGAAAAAAACTAGTGTCACAGTTAAAAAAAAAAAGTGTGTGTGTCCGCTCCGACGCACGACTGGAGTTTACTGGATATAAAAAATTAAACGAAACAATACGAGAAATAGTTCTATATTACGACAACACGATACACTACAGATTATTAACAAATTAACGAGACACAAAACAAACGACTAACAAATATATGAAAATACAATAATGAGAGAAACGCGCGATCAGTACGAGGCTTTGTGGCGGACTGCCGGCGCAGCAGCCCGGCGTCACCTGCGATAACGCGGCCGCGCGTTGGCTCCTGATTGGCGCGCGCACGCATCACCATGGCCAATCAGGCGCATAACGCATTTCGTGTGACATGCTATACTCTCTAGTACGATTTTGGTCCCCATAATTTTCATACCCCGGGCCTATATATGTAAATCGATTCTTAAGGAGTAAACTCCAAAATATATTACAAAAAAAAAACACAGGCAGTTGAGCACACAAATTTGTAGGGCGTGGTTGTACGGCCGATCTGACTCTCCCTCTGTAGGTTACCCTCCTGAATTCCGGCAGCCAACGGAAGTGGGTTGACCCGCTGAAGCACCACGTCTGGACTCCTGGAGGTTTCCTGGGCTGGCTAGATCACCAGGGTACGGGTTACTGGGCGGAGATGACCTTTTCAGCACACGCAGTTATCGGGTGAAGCAATAAGCAATAAGCGTGAAAAAACAGCTAGGCATGAACCCTGGAAGCGATAAGACCAATTTCACAAACTGGTTTATCTACCTTCCGATCTGGTTGACCAACGAGAACTCGAGCAAGGTACCCACATCTTGTGGCGAGATTATCGTGGTAGTGGTCAACCAGAACGGAGTAAATGCACAATAAAAAATTAAAGCAATAAAACAAGTGAAGTATAGCTGTGCATGATTAGCAAAAAAAATAAAAAAGAAGTAATGCGTTAAAAAATAATATGCCATTTCCAACTCACCCTAAAAGCGGGGTCGAATCCGTTTGTTTTAATCGTGTTAATATTAAACAGCACACGATATTGCTGTACTAAATATATTTTTTAAATAAATTATTTGTAGGTAAGTCGTCTAGGTTTGAAAACGAACTTTAACTGAACTCGAATACAAACGTAAGACTAATAAGGAAGTCTAGTGACGACTGCCGGCGGCTGCGCAGTGTCTGCCCAGCCGAACCTACGTCTCGGGGGGAGGTGGGAACTATTGTTCTCACCTCAGCGGTACAGTCGATAAAATAACTGCTTTGAACATAAATACTTTTGTTTTAAGGTTTTTTTTTATCTTTTTATTTTGCTAGTTTGTTGTAACATTACGTTACACGATGGATGCCTATCGGTCTGGGCTTATAAAACACTATACCACCAGTAAGTGCTCTGAGGAATTGTTTGAGATGATCCCCTCATCTCCTTTTTATCATCGCACCTCCCCCCATCGGAGCAGAGTTCATCCATATTATCTGGAACCGCTGCGTTCATCGACAGTGCGTTTCCAGAGGACTTTTTTGCCACGTACCATCCGGCTATGGAATGAGCTCCCCTCCACGGTGCTTTCCGAGCGCTATGACATGTCCTTCTTCAAAAGAGGCTTGTGGAGAGTATTAAGCGGTAGGCAGCGGCTTGGCTCTGCCCCTGGCATTGCTGAAGTCTATGTGAAGTCTAGTGACGGTAACCACTCACCATCAGGTGGGCCATATGCTCGGCTGCCTACAAGGGCAATAAAGAAAAGGTCGTAATAGATTCGTTCTATGGGTGTCCATTGAGGTAGTTTGAATAAATTCTGCTCTGTTATTCAGTAGTTTAGCAGTAAAATGGGAATGGCCCGGTCATATTAAACTTCACAGGAATATCTATGGAATATGCTGTATCAAATACAGAGAGAACCGACGGCCTCGTAAACACTTAGACCTTGAGTTACCAAATGAATCTTGAAATCTAGTATATCAACAATCCGAAAGGTTCTATTCAGTATGGTGTAAAATGGGAATAGAATCTGACATCCATTCCATTGACAATGAATGCTACTTCGAACAGAAATGTGATTGAAGTGTTAATTTCTTTTTAACCTAAACCTACCACCATAAACTTCAAAATAAATAAATAAATATGTACACTTCGGAATTGACCTTTCTCATAATGAACAAGGTATTCAAAAGAGACGAAGCGACGAAAACCAGATGTCTTCCTTGACAAATTAGCGGTTTGATTAAGTTGTTAAATTGGTAAGTATCGGTACATTAACACTCAAACATTCGTTTCACGTGTGATCGTACGCGGCTGCGACTATTTAGCGCTTCGATGACATTGCAAATCTAAGTAATTACAACTGAAGTAGACCGAGAGCTAGTAATTTATTTAGTACTAGCGACCCGCCCTCGCCTCGCTTCGGAAACTGTAATTTATTATTGATTTTTCCACTATTTAATTAATGTTATTATATAAGGTAGGTGCGGGTAATAAGGCCTATCGGCTAATAAGGCCTAAGTAACGAAAAAATAATTTAAAATGTTCGATGCCGCTCAAGGACACAATCATAGGTAGCTACACTCCTAAGATGGCGCGTCAAAATTGTCGCGACGCGTCGCTCGCTTGTTTCGACCAGTGCGATGTGATCTTTTGTGAGGGGTGGTTGTGTGTGGTAAGAGTAATAAAAAATAGCCCGACTGAATCGTAAGTAATGTTTGTAATATTACACTTTTATATATAATTTTACGCTACAATTTTCTGTTTTTCATGCTTCTATTGATCTTTGATATCTGAGTAATATATCATGAATCAGTTAGTGTATTTTTTTGTATATCTTTATACCCTATATCAGCGGTTAATAAGGCCTACCAAATTTGACAGTAGGCCTTATTATAATCCTCTTTTTATAACACTATTTGACAGCTTTCCAACTAATATTTTAAATATTTCGTAAAATGTTATGAATGTTTATAAGTAATTACGACTGTTTACTAATTACTTTATTGTTATTTTAGTGTCTACATTATGATGCCCCGCAAACGAGCATTGTGGTCTGAAAATGACTTGGTTTCGGCTGTCCAAGCAGTAAGAAGAGGAATACTAAGCACATATAGAGCTGCTGAGAGGTATAAAGTCCCCAGGAGAACCATTAGAAACCATCTCCAGACCGGAAGCTTGAAAAAGACACTAGGTCGAAAATCTATTCTCAGTGACGACCAGGAAGCTGATCTTGTTAGCAGAATTATAAGGTTTGCTGAAGTAGGTTTGCCTGTGACACCACGGATTCTCCGACGCTTGGTCTATAAATTTTGTGAGCTTAATAAGGTGAAGCATAACTTTAATCAAAATGCTGGAGTAGCTGGTAAAGATTGGTTTAAAGCATTTATGAAAAGACATCCCGAAATATCTAGAAGAAAAGCTCAGTTTATTAACCCAGCCAGGGCACAAAAGCTTAACAAATTTATCGTTAATGATCACTTCAAAAAACTTAATGAAATTTATGATAATCTAGATTTGCAAAGCCACCCTGAAAGAATTTATAATATGGATGAGAAAGGCTGCCGTCTAACAATTCATCATAAACAGACTGTTTTGGCAAAGAAGGGTGCTAAAAGAGTGCATTTACAGTCTTCGGAACACGCTGAAAGTGTCACCATAGCGGGATGTGTAAATGCACTTGGTACTGCTATACCACCAATGATCATATTTAAAGGTAAACGATTGAAGCCAGAATTATATGATAATTTGCCACCAGGTTCTCTAGTAGAAAAATCTGCAAAGGGGTATATGACTAATGAACTTTTTAAAGAATTTCTGAAGCACCTAGCTAGATATAAAAGTGCAGGAAAGTCCCTTTTAATATTTGATGGAGCAGCTTGTCACTTAGACTTAACCATCGTTGAAGTCGCAGATTCACTCGACATATCATTATACTGTTTACCTTCGAATACCACTCACGAACTGCAACCCCTAGATAAAGCCGTCTATCGATCATTTGAACACCACTGGGATGCAGAAGTCTTATCATTTATGGAACAAAACCCAGACAAAAGGCTCACTAAGGCACGGTTTAATGTTATTCTTTCAAATGTCTGGTCCAAATGCATGACTCATAATAACATTACAAGCGGCTTTAAAACCACTGGTTTATATCCATTGAATCCACAAGCTATTCCAGAAACAGCTTTTGCTCCGTCTTTATTGACAGAAGTTCCAGGTCTTGTAGTTGACACAGTTGATAAAGAAAATTCGCAACCTCGCATCTCCCCCAAGCCAATAACCCCAAGACCCTCCACGTCGACAGCACAAGAAGAAAGAATTGATAGCAGGGTAAACAGACCTTCTGGAACATTTTACCGCATGGTTTACGGTAGTTCTAGTTCAGATGATGAAGAAGACCAAGTGCCACTCGCTCTAGTAAAAAGAACAGCATTTCAGCAACTTATGCCTACACCGGCGAAAAATATTGAAAAAACACAAAATGTTAGAAGAAAAGCCATTAATTATCGGGGAACTCCAGTCATCAAGGACCTATTCGACAAAAACAAGAAAGAGAAGAAAATAAGAAAGAGGTCAACTCTTAAAGAAAGACATGACAAACAAAACGATGCTATTTGGTACTGTCACGCTTGTGAGGAGGATAAGATGGAAGACATGAGGGCATGTTCAAATTGCGGCAAGTGGTATCATGAGGAATGCGTCGGTTTGACAGTAAATGACATAGATAATTTTGAGTGCCCTGATGGATGTTAAACAAAGAAATATGTTGTAATTTTGAAGACTAAGCATGATTAATGCATATACATTATAATTCATCTCAATTACCAAATATTAGAAGCCTATTTTGTATATTTATGAGTGTTAAAATCTTAGGCTTTATTATCCTACTATAGTATAATAAGGCCTACTGACAAGGTTTTTAAAAATGTTTTATTTTATGTTTGTTTACGGCAAAAGAGGCCATTTTTTGTTAACATTTTATAGTAATTGATCTGTAGGTTTAATTAATATTACAATTTATTGAGTCGTATAAATAGTTTTTATTTTATTTCAAATCTCCCTTAGGTAGGCCTTATTACCCGCAGCTACCTTATATAAACCTTCCTCTTCAATCACTCTATCTATTAAAAAAAACCACATCAAAATCTTTTGTGTAGTTTTAAAGATTTAAGCTTACATAGGGATATAGGGACAGAGAAAGCGACTTTGTTTTATACTATGTAGTGATACAGATAAACATAATTTGTAGAGCTGTTGACTGGATCTGTTGTAGGCGTAGCATTGAAAGGTAAAATTAAGACTAAGAAGCGTCCTTGACTTAAGGTAGTCGGTGTATTCATAGTCTGCGACTATGCCGTATAGAATAGCAATTGTTCTGTATAATTTTGTAGCAAATGTGTTCACGAACGACATTCACATCAATGAATACATTTCTTAGTGCAGGTCTGTCCAGGCTGAGCCTGCTTATGGGCAAAAATGGTGATAGATGTATTCGTGGGAGGTGTAAACTTTATATATACCTTTTCGCTGGTAGCCTAAGGGCCTATTCTAGATATTCTCGGACGTCTATTTGAGCTCACGGGATCAACTTGAAAGAATTTCCTAACAATAATCCTAGCAAGAAAACTATAAGCTATCTACTCACTATTCATACATAGTTACACTATATGTGAGTGAAGGCTTCATGGGTTTCCTTTTTGTTTTTATCACTAAAAAGAGTATATTGATTTAGAAAAGTCTACTATGAATTTAATTTTCTCTTTGTGACGATACAATTATAAATACATTTTTTGAAAAACGTAAATACAAGACGTCTAATTTATACAACTCTGTATAAATAATGTATTAAAATCAAATTTAAGCAATGTATAATTTTGCGCATTTTTTTATGCGTTACGTAAGTAAGGAGATGTGGATACGGGTCACCTAAACGAACTCAGTGGCAATGGTCAGTGATCACTGGTCCTGCATATATTATACGTATGTATATATTTTCGATGAGCGTAATGACTCGAGGTTGTAAGAAAAATAAAACTGCTTCGTAAGTAATAGGTGGTGGAAGTTTAAAGACATGACGGTGTTATCTACATTATTCTTTTAGATCTCTCAGCATGAAAAATTAGAAACGAAACACAAGGAGCCGAACTTCCTCCGTAGACCAAGATGTTTCCGAGGATCTGTGAAATCGAGAATACTAACAAAATCCGAACGGCGCGGCCCGTTTCGGAGTCAAATGGAAGCAGTACTTATTAAACTCCCTGAAATGATGGTGGACAATATTATGCGTCAACACCATTATCCCTATTTTTGTCATGAAGAATTTGTAAGCTTCTTAATATACTTTATTATATAAGTAAACTACCAATATTAAGAAAAAAATATATTATAATGAGATTTACTCAAGAATAGGAAAATAAACTCTTAGCCTACACTCAGAACCATGACATGTTCACGATTCCTAGCACCAACAATTTAATGTAATAGGTACAAATTAACTACACATTTTATAACAACGTTATTTATTTAGATCGTCACATTTAATTTACGATTTTTTTGTTGTTTTCATGGTCTTTTATTGTGATTTGAAGGCATCGAAAAAAATGTATGTATTTATATTATATTAAATTGTATGTGACATAATCAGATTAAATATTTGAGAATCGGTGTCATTGATGTTAAAGCAAACTTGTTGTCCAAACATAGATACTTTATTTATTCGAAGATATCAGCAGAAATATGCAAACACGAAAAAAATATAAAAAATAGACGTAATTTTTTTATATTTTGACATGATAATTTCTATTTGCAAGCAATTTGTAATAAAGCAATTTACAATCTCAACAACATTAGAATCCAAGTTGCACACCCTTATTTCTGCTGTACAGTGTATAATATATGCAGGGCACTCCTTTTCTTTGTACTCATTCATGAATTAGTGACGTTCAAATTGTTTGCTATATGCTGACAGTTTTAAAATCTATGAAAGGGCTTGTAAATAAAATCAGGCATCCAAATTAACAAATGGTCTAGATCGGTCTTTCCCAACGTGGGCCCCACGCCCCACAAGGGGGCAATATGATAATTAAGGGGGCCAATCGCACTAAATTAATATAGAAAATCTGTATTAAGATTATTTTGAATTTTGATTTCAGTTTTTTATTATATGATTTGAAATATTACTTACTGTGTTCTGATAACAATTGCATAGTGATTTCTTTCTAAAACCTATCATTTATGTTTCTTATGTGAACAAATCAATTTTTTTAATGTTAAAAAATAGGCATTGAAATTTTAGAAATGTTACAGATTCACGATCAAATGAAAAATGAAAATAAAATATTTAGTTATAAATTTAATCGGATTATATTTTTTTATGAGATTTGGTGTCAACTTCCACAACAAATCGATTGGTCTTGTAATTTATGAACTTATCGTTTTACCGAATAAATGTTGTACCGATGTGCCTTGCGTCTTACAGCATCTTCGATAGTAAATTATTTAATTTAGACATATTTGCTATAACGCAGCTCGTATTTCCTTTATGGAGTTACACGGTACTGCAGGGTAAGACAGGCTGGCTTTGGTCCACCGGGGTATTCCGGGACACCAGCGGTGCCTGGGGCCGCCTATGGGCTGCCGTACCGAGACGGCCGATGTAAAACTGTCGACTATAGCCACGACCACCCGTCCGTCGGGCGTTCTAGGGGTAGCGCCACGAGTCTGGTTGTAATGCTGACCGCGGGAATCTTCACACTCTGTCTGGGTTCTGACCCCGGCCGTAGTTCGAACTTCAGGTGAGAGACTGCAAGGAAAGTCGTTTGATGGGTAGAGTCCTACAAATATTCTTGGGGCTGCGGGGCTTGGGAGCAGATCTCCCAACATCTGCAGACAGTCAAATCCGATATATCCCGCGCACCCTCTAAACGTGGTCACATTGTATGAGTTTGGAATCCTGCCCGAAAAAAAACTTAAAAATCTAACGGTTTTTTCAGATCTTCTGGACCCATGAACCTCTAAATCCTTCTAAACTGAATTTAGTATCTATGTAGTAGTAGATTGAATCACTGTACAACTAAATAGGTATATAAAAAAATCGGATTGAAAACTTCACCATGATGAAATTGTAAAAAAAAGCCATTCATAAAACAATTAAAGAATCTTATCCAAGTCCACCAAGATGGGTACTGGGTAGTTGCAGCCACGTTGTAATTTCTATGGGTTCCGATAATTAACTTAACAATATCTGGGTCGTGTGCTTATTTGCAAAATTAGTGTAATTAATAGGACACTGTTATACAAATACAACTGAATCCATGGAAATAAACGAGAATCTGCACGCGGTTTTCAAATCGATGGGATCGATTTGAACATTTAGGATTCCATTGCTAGTTACCACGTGATAAATGACACTTGACAGATATGACGTACAGCCGCAAGTTGTATTATGACTCAATAGAAGGTTTGAAATTTTCGAAAAACCTCTCGTAAGACCTTTAAATTAGATACATTTATATTTAGACCGATATTTTATTTACATCGCAACATGGATAATCAAAGTAAACAATTAGCTGAAGACTTTTTCTTAAGAGAGCCTGTAGACGCCCGCATCAGGTAACTTTGGTTGGTGACAATTTGTACCATTTAGCAACATGTTTTTAAAAATTAAAATACGTTTCTCTATAGAAAAGTGAAAGATGAGCCCAAAGAAGAATCACACCCGACTCTCAAAGTTGAAATGCAAACGATTCGTTTGAATCCGGACTCACAGAAGATAATATTAGATACATTGAGGTATATCCATGGTTCTGAATTCAAATTGGGCAGTGCTAGTCTTTACAAGGTATGAGAGAATGGGTATTTCATAAAGCACTTCACACGAAATATTTAAGTAAATTGATTGTTTAGTATTTGAGTGTATTTGTAGATGTTTATTTTCATGAATGCTCTTAAAAGGTTTGTTTAAAATCTCAAATTGTTCCCTGCATTGTGTGCAAGTTGTAACTTACATATTTTTTGAAAATTTTCATTATGGCCATTATTATATATGCATAATGTAAAAAATATATTTTCAGGATAAAGGTTCAAATTTGGGAAACAGGTATTGGATGGAAAGAGGCAATTTAGTTGTCCAAGGAGGATGTGACTATTCTCTTAACATGAAACCTGATATACAGAGCTCAGAAGCTAGACTTAGATCTTTTGCTTTATCAAAATTAGAAAAGTAAGTAATTGAATGTAATTATTGCTATCCATAAAATCTATTTGATGATGGTGGTAGCTGTTAATCATAGACATTAGCAATACTGGTTCACTGTCAAGCCTCTGTCTATATAATTGATAATCGGCACCAATAGTGAAGATGATAAGACAAACGGGTCTATATTAGACTCTGCTATAAATAGTTAATTTTAAGCAATTGAAATTTCACACTCCAGATACCACTTCCATAAAGCACATTGTGCAGAAGCCTTAGAGATAGCAGCAGAAAGTGTAGAAAAGTCCCTAGAGATTTTATTTTATAAATATTTTAAGATAGACCCAGAGGATAAACCGGAAAACGCCCTCTCAAATTCAGAGTTAGAAGAGATGAGAATGGATGAAAAAGCAGTATTAGAATCAATATATGATACCAGTTTCAAAACGAAAGATGCAGATGTATGGGTTGTCAAATTAGATCTAGACTACTTAACAAAGCTATATGCAAATAAAGTTGATGCACCGAAAAAGAAAACAAATATAAATTACAATAATAAAGGGAAACCAAAAGAGATGTGTAAACTTATTTTAAAGGGACACTGTAGATTTGGTGATAAATGTAAGTTTTCGCATGAAATTAATACAGAGAAAACTCAGCCCGATACAGAAAACACTGGAACTCAGAAAATTACGTATGAATTAGAAGTAAGGTTTCCGAAAGACACACTGTATCCTTATCAACCCCCATTATTGTTTTTCAAAACGGAAAACCGTACTGATACCATACCTGATTTAACTTGTTTGAAAATAACATGTAGACTCGTAGACGAGGCGAAAATTCTTGCACAAGATGGAGTACCAAGTATATATTCCATTGTGGAATTGCTACAAAATGAAGAAGATATCATAAATTTTATAAAATTTGATACAAGATCATTTTTAGAACCTTCAGAAGCTCTATTTCCACAATTAATAGAGGACGAAGGTAAACATGAAGTTAAACCAAGTCATTACAAAAAAGGTGTTATCAAAGACATAAGGAATAACATAAATTTTGAAGAAGTTTTGAGAGAAAATAAAGAAATAGCTAAGAGATGGTTAGAAAAGAGGGAAAATAATAGGTACAACAAAATGATGTCAGATAGAAGAAAATTGCCTGCTTGGCAGAAGAAGAATGATATATTGAATGCTTTGAAAAAATCACAGGTTAGTATTCAACATCTTTATGAAAACTTCAATTATCTTGTTATACAATGGAAGACAGTGATATATTATTATTATAAAAAAATCTATAATTTATATTATTTTATCAAAATATGTATTTAAATGGAAAAAAATTTTAAGAAAAATTTGAAAAAAAAAACAATTTCTAAAAAAAGCGTCAGTGATACTATGCAATTCATTCAACTACAATCTTTCGCACACAAATAATTGATATGCATTAGACAGTAGTGCTTAGAAATCAAATTGAATATTAAAACTTAGATTTCATGCTTGTTGCCACTGTGGGTACATCATTATTCAACAATTTTTTTTATGGACAAGTAAATACGTTATGTTGATACTGAAAAACAAACTGTCACAGACCAAGTTTTTGTTACTCCTAGTTAACTAAATATGATAAGGCATACCTAAAATTATGAAATGTGAAATTAATATATAATTCATTTAATGCAGCTTTCCATCCTCAGATAGTAGTGATCAGCGGTGAGACCGGTTGTGGTAAAAGCACACAAGTACCTCAGTACATACTGGATGACTGGTTGAATAATTTCTCCAAAGATGGTCCTGAACATGTCGAGATAATCTGTACTCAACCGAGAAGAATATCTGCTATTGGTGTGGCAGACAGGGTTGCTGATGAACGCGTGGAGAAAACTGGCCAAGTTGTTGGATATCAGGTACGAAAATATAAAAAAAAACATTTTAAATGAAATCTTAGGCCGCCCAGTATTGTTATACTGGGTCAAAGATTTGAACTGTAAATAAATCCAGGGAATTTTTCATTGGGCTGGTGACTTTCCACTTATCGGTAGCATCAGTTTATCTGTTGATACCTGATGATTTGATTTGGATAATAAATAAAAAACTATGCAATGTACAATAATTGGTAATAAGCTGCCCTGCATTATCATGTCTTCTGCCTGAAATGAAAACGTAGAGCTTCATATTACCCACAATATAGGCAGACAAGCATACGGCCCACCTGATGGTGAGTGGTTACTGTCGCTCATGGACGTCAGCAATGCCAGGGGCCGAGCCAAGCCGCTGCCTACCGACCTAACTAGTCACGTCTCAATTTATTACCGCCTAATGCCCATCCATCTTTTATCAGCTTTAAGAATATAAGAATGTAGCTCATTATTGGTTAAGTTACGTCGTCACTAACATGTTGGTGTGCAAACAAGCCAACGAGATGTTTCTAGGGTCCCCTTTTAAATCCCAAATACTATGTGCAATATACTACTAACGAATATGATATCTCACACAAATATTTCATTAAAATAGTATATTTGTGGTTGCATAGAAAAACTTATAATAGACAACGTCTTATAATTCGATGGAGCCGGCTGCACGCACGAAAAAA